ACGTGGTGGCGGAGCCGTTTCCTTATGCGAACTTATGAAAAAAAAGGTAGGGCGTGTCTTCTATTTAGGCGTCGTTCAGTCACTCCGTACATCACATAAACGAGAATCTCGTGTAGCTTCAGCTATCGATAATGTCGAAGTTGAAGGAACCTAAAATCTGGATGGAAATGAAAAGGAATGAATTCAGTAGAGAGATCTCTCTGAAGCAGATACATAACTTGTCTAGTGTCTTGGTCGCATACAAACAGTCGTCTCGCAAAAATAGCTCGGATGAAGCAAGCACTCCGGCGGAGGCTATAGGTCGATCACACTCTCAACAAGGAAGTGAGGGTGATGTGGAGCACGCGGTAGAAGCCATCGCTACGGTACAGTCTGAGCTTAATTCGTTGGAAATATCCCAGACGCAGGCTTTGACGGAGATCTTGAAGAAATACAAGGAATTGAAAAAGCCAGTTTACAGCAGGCGACAAGAGGCTATCAAGCAGGTACACTATTTGCTAAGTGGCATGTCGAGGCGCCTAATCCACAAATCAAAAGAGGACGTATCGCGATAGACAAAGTCAAAGACGCTCATTCGTCACCGCCGACACACGCACGCGCCACAGGTCCCTGAGTTCTGGTTCAAAGTTTTGCTCGCACATCCTGCCATCGGCGAGCACATCTCCGACCCGGATCAAGGCGCCCTGCGTCATCTGACGGCTGTGGAGGTGGTGGACGTCACAGAGGAAAGGTTGGATGGAGCAAGGGAAGAAGAAAGTGAAGGCGGGCAGGAGCAGGGCGGTGGCAGGATCCTGCCGGATTATCGTGTGAACTTCTATTTCTCCCCCAATGTGTATTTTGAGAACTCGGTGCTGTGGAAGGAATTCCGTTTCCGCAACGACGAAGCCACCGTCTCGGCGCCGGAAGTGTTGTGGAAGGATACGCAGGAAAGCAAAGGCTTGCAAGAAACCCTGGTGCCTCACCTGCTGGCGCAAGATCCCGTCCCCGAGAACGTCCAGCCGTCTTTCTTCTCCATCTTCCACGCGGAGGATCGGGACCTGGAGATGGGCGATGTCCTCAAAGAGGAGGTGTGGAGGGATCCGGTTGGG